CCTGATTGTTCATAAGAAAACATTGAACATTTTATAATGTTATAAAAATAAAAGCTAAGTACCAGTCCATATAAAATCAGACAATTAAATGGTTATAAAAGTGATACATGTGGGTTCTCAGAATTTTAGGATTTTCCACACATAAATTTCTCTTGTACTATGATATATGTATGTTAAATATTATCTAAATGTTTTGGTTCATTGTTACTATGGAACAGTGCCAAAGAAATTTCACTAGCAACTAGCCAATCTTTTCATGTGACAGAACAAAAAGTCACATCTTTTAATTATTAAGCCTTGAAATGAAATGCAAATATGAATAACATTATTTCTCCTTACTTTTATAACAAATACACACATTTGCAGTCTTTTTGATTATTTATTTGTTAGTACAACCTAACACATACATGTAGATACTAGATTTAAAGTTAGTTCTGTAATAGACATTGACAGATTACGTTTTGCATTGTTGCTGATTCAGCATTTTTCTTGATTTTGGCAATATTCTACGTCAAAATAAAATGTGCATCTAAAAATTTCAGTTTTTGCCAAATATATAAAAGTAAAGGAATGTCTCTGACCAGGTTTGCATAGTAGCCATGAACCAAAAATATTTATTATTTTACATACATGGATCATAGTGCAAAAGAAATCCATATGTGGAAAATCATCTAATTCTGACAACCTTCATGTAATTCACCTTTTGTTTGAATTTCATACACACTGGTACTTTATAGTCTTTTTCACTCTCAAGTATATTTTGGCTTCTAAGATTCTAAAGACAGTGGTTCTGTAAATAAGATTCTCATATATACAGTCTGTATAAACAAATTACTTGAGCTATTTTACCTTATGTTCATGTTTAAACACTGTTAGAGCTTTAAATGTACAATTTAATGAATGTCTTAAGGAGGCATATTTATTAACATTCCTAATTATTCAAGATCCGAATGTTCATCTTAATATAACTTTGTTATACTTCCACAAATACATAATATGTGTATTTGGAAGAAATGAACACATTTAACTAAGTGTTTTCACTTACTGAATTTTAATTTTATCTGAATGAACTCATGTCATTCTTTTGTGGGGGTAGCTGTATGTATAAGACTGTATAACTTCCTTCTCTAAAGATAACATTCCCCTCTTCTTTCATAGTAGGGAAATTTAAGTAATAGTAAATTACACTTGGCAAATTTCACTTCTGCATACTTCATTCTTTTCAATTTGAATACAATATGCATACCATTTTTGTTTGTTTTCTACCCCACTTTAAAATACGTAAGTTTGTGGAAGTTGTGGAATTTTGATATTTTGATGTCTTTGGTTATTTTCATAGTATTGGCAGATTTATTTTACTTTAATCTATATTAATCATGATTACAAGAAATGAACATAAAAATGAGAATATAAAGAACCCAGTTATCAAATTTGTCTCATTTAATGCTTCCTCTAACATGTTTAATGTTAAAACCCCAAATGAATGTAAACTTTATAGATTTTTAATAAATTCTAAATTTCTATTTTGCTTTTGAAAAAAGAACATAAGCTAGTTTGACTTTTTCCAAATTAAGAAGTTGTATAAAGAAACACTTTACATAATGCTTAGCCTTAGTATCTGGAAAATGAACATTTAGCTTGAAGTTACTTATGACTTAAAAATAGGAAAAATAATACCCTAAAAATGGAGGGGGGGTCATCACAGAAAGGAGGCAAGTAATAAATTGTTAATTTTTCCTCCTCATCATCAGTGTGAGACACAATGTACTGTATGAGACACTGTGACATTTCCTCATCTTTAACCCCACATGACTTTATAATGGTTACCTCATTCTGCTTCCTTTATGATATGATATATACCTCATGGCAAACTGCTGAATAGTATGGCTTGTTAACTTGATTAATAGATGTATGATGGTGCAGTGATTTTCAATTCTCTGAACATGATTATATACGTGTTCTTCACTTCTTTCTCTTTCAATATCAGGTTTACAAGTACAGTGTAAAGTTTACAATGTAAACTAAAATTAATATTTTTTAAATTCAGATTAGAAAAAAGCTAAATGTTTAGTTCTAGGCTTATATTTCTGCCTCCCACTGAATGCAATTCATTTGAGACATAACATATATATTGAATAATAATTTTTTTTTCTTTAAATATCAGCTGATATTATGTAATTGATATATTCCACACAGTTGTCCTTTTTCTGTGTACATAACACCACATTAAAGGTTGTCTGACTCCCACACTACCTTTTACAAATATTCAGTGAAGGTTTTCTTATACATTTTATTTAGTGGTAGGAGTTGAGGTAAATGTATACCCCCAAGTGTTGAGGACCTACTGAAGATATTCTCTAATGAGAAGTTAATGTTGAAGTAGGAGTATTTAAAAGAGCCATTAACTTCTCAATTAAGAATACTATGGATAGATTACAGAAGGGCATATGGACAGAAACCTCCATCACCATGCATATACCCCCATCCTCCCCCTTTTAAACTTTCAAGTGGGGGAAAAAAGTTGTATATTTTCCATATCAGCAAAAATGTCTAATAAACATTGTAAAGTAGTATCATAATTTAATATCCATAATTTACAAAAATGATTTGTAATTTTGACAATGTAGATACCTGGATGAATATCAGAAATATAATTAATTAGAACTTACTGCAAATCTTCCACCATCAATGCCATGTTCTCGAAACTGAGAGACAAAATTCCCAAACTTATTCTGAAACATCACAGAAAAAGTAAATGTTAAAAATTGATATCCTTATTATATGTCAAGATGATAATGATACATGTAAAGAACAACTCTGGAATACTACTGAAAGAATTTGAGCATCCTAAAATAAAATACTGTTAAATAGAAATAAATTTTTGTTGAACTCATAGCTATATGCTTTTAATGATTTAACATATAGGTCTTTTAAGATATAATTTCTTGGCTTCTTTATTCAGAACACTGATCTCAGTATTTTTTAAATAACTCTTTTTCCTACCTTGCATATCATCCAATTCAGATATTTTTAATAATTTAAAATTTACTTAATATACATACAGTTACTGAACCACATTGAAATAATTTAACATCTAATGATGTAAAATAAAGTTTGTTCATACTGTAGATCTTTACTGAATTGTCTAAATCTCCCGACCAATCCCTTTAATGATAAGAGTTGAAAATGCCTCAGTCTCCCAGAAAATCTGCCTCATTTAACTATTTTAATATAGTGTTCAGCGAAATAAGTATATATATGCTTTTTTTATCCACCAATTTCAGCAGTCTACTGTTTAAATCTCCATGTTTTAACATTGATTTATTCCTTTCTACTAGAATTTACAGTTTTATAATACCCTACTATGGCTCACAACAGTATGTGTCCATGCACGGGCATAACTCCGATCTTCTTCGCTTTGTGTGAAATGCCCGTGTGGTGCAGTGGTTAGAGGGTCTGCTCTAGAGTTGCGAAGTAAGGAATTAATCGTCACATCATGAAAAAGATTCCTGCTAAATGGCCACGAGTGCCGAGTATTGGAAAAAATTTTGCAGCTCTCCACCGGCAAGTGGTGGCGTCTCCATATGAGTGAAAATTTCTCGAGAGGGACATTAAACAATATACAATCAATCAATCAATGAACTTTTAAGTAAAATGAGAATTCTGTTTACAGTGAATCAAACCATGTTATTGTGTGCAGTGTGTATGAACCATTAATTTATCCAAAAGGTTGGGGAATGTACCATAATTACCAGGGTAAAAATGATACTGCCTTGATCATGCATGTTATTAACATTAAATGAACTTACACAGTTTCTGTTATAATCAAAGTACAGTTGAACTTTGGTATCTCAAACTCCAATATCTCGAATACCAAGGATATTTCGAAGTGATTTGGAAGTCCCAACCACATATTCTTTAAGTATTTTACCCTTCATATCTCGATTCCTCTGATATCTCGAAGTTTTTTCTCAGTCCTATTAGGTTCGAGATAACAAAGTTTGACTGTATAGTAAAAACTCAGTAAAATGTTTCAAGCAAAATCAAACTCCTCAGAAAGATTTTGTTTGAGACTATTACAGCATTAGCTTAGCTTTAATAGGACATACATGTACATTTTAAAACATATCTACTGTTTTCACCGTCTTTTTTGTTGTTTTATTTCATTTCAGCAATTAAAACATCGATCTCTTTACATTTTGAAGTGTAAATGGTTTACTCAAAGTACTTTTGAGTACTTTAACCTCTTCTTCATTTTCACTGTACATTATGCATCATTCAATGCATATTACATATCAACTTGACAATTTATATTTATAATGAACTGTATAGCTGTATGAGCTACACCTCTCAGCTAGTCTTTCATCTGTATTAATCTCTGTGAGATTATAAATCTAACTTTGAATGAAAAGTAATGACTCTTTAGGGTTTAGGTTTCCTTTGATAATCTTAAAATAGTAAGTGATTCAGCTTATTCATGTAGTAGCATGATGCTTTTGCTCTGGGACTTGCAGACGATTCTTCGTGTATAACTTCTTACCTCCATAAGCCATGTGCACACATCATTGACAGTCCATCTCGCAAGTTGGCTATAATCAGGTAGCGGAGTTTTAGACATTATTTCAGTTCTGCGTCTATTCAAACAAGAAGAAAGTTTGTTGGTTAAGAACTTCCTTGTTGATTCTTTTCTTGTATATGATATCCCGGATACCCTCGGTTTTATTCATTGCAATTTTATTAACATTGGAAAATCATCAAGGCACTCCGAACATTAATTTTAGCGATTTGTGATTTATTTAGAAAAGCGAAAATAAATAATTTGCTTCTGCAAGATAAATAATAATTTAAAATTAGAAGCTAAATTTAAAAATATTTTAAAAGAATTTTCAAAAGAAATTTGTACGATTTTGATTGTCTAGATATAAATATAAATTTCGCTTTTTGGTAATTGTTTAATATTAACTTCTACGATTCACTTCCGGTTTTCTTTCACGTGTAGAGGAAATTCAGAAATAAGAAGACTAACAAAAAATATGCAACATGATGATGTGAGTACCCTACTACCCTTTCAACGGTTCATCGATATATAGTCTAATTATTTTCTATAGAAATCAGCTAACATTTTTAATTGATTTTCATTTATCAAACACATTTTAAATTGAAAAAGTTTTATAGTAGTGGCATAAACATGCACTGTTTATTTTTTTCTAGTTCGAATTTTCTCAAAATTCATATTAAATTGCCGAAAGGCGTCATTTACATTGCACTTAATATTCATTCACATTCCTTTGCTTTTACAAGAACACAATTTTACAGTTATAATTCACTGAAATTTGTATATTGTGTATTGCAGGTCATATGGAGTATTATCAATAGCACATTCTGTTCGTTTAAAGTGAGGTTTGTATACCTTTTTTCATTAGAATGAAATCTCATTGAATTTTATGAAGAAGTTAATTTTTTAACTTGCACGTTTTTAATTGTCCAATTTTAAAATCAAATTCTATTTGAAGTGATAAAGGAACAAAAGTTCAGAATACAACTGTCGTGCTAGGAACTTTTATCTACACATGTATGTTTATTTTTCTCAGTTTACATGTTATGTGATTCTTTTCATCTCTTGAGTGAATCAGGTGTTGATTTTTTTCTGTTGATTATCTTTGTCTGTGCAGAGTTCGTGAAAAATTTAACCATTAAGCAGAATAATAGGTCCTTCTTAGAGATTTTTTTAGCAGGACTCACAAACAAAGACTGAGTAATTGATGAACTACTTTAAATAAATTGCTCAATGACAATTTTAACTTGTTGTTTCATCATTAACAGAATCCTAATGTATAGAACATATTGAAGACATAAAAAAATTCTGTGCAGTCTTCACCAAAAAATGCCTGACAGGACTGAAGATTCCACAGTTTGAGTAATTTTTTCAAGAATCAAGATGCAGGTTACTTCTAGTTTGTCATATTGTCATAAAATTATTCTTTTTGTTGATTTATTTCAGAACAAAATCCCAGAAATTCTGTAGGAATGAGTACAACTTAACAGGATTATGTAACAGAGCATCATGTCCACTCGCTAACAGTCAATATGCCACTGTCAGAGAAGAAAAGGGTAAAGTATTTTATGATTGTATTGGAATATTATTCACTAAATCATTTTAAACTTGATGCAGAAGTTGAGGAACTAAGGCACAGTACAGTAAATAAGAAAGAATTTTAATCTCAGTACATAAATTTGGGAAACAAACTTTTCAAATGAGTGAAATGAAATGGTTGCAGCTAAGCCAGGTTTATCCATAAGGTTGTTTTCTTACATATGATATAAAATTTTTGTATGTGCAAATAAAGTTGAAGTGAACTATTTATAGAAAAGATCTGGACTGCTAGGTTTAAATAAAATGTCATTACTTTATTTTAGGTGTGTGTTACCTTTATATGAAGACAGTTGAACGAGCTGCATTCCCCAACAGAATGTGGGAAAAAGTAAAGTTGTCTAGGAATTATGAGAAAGCTCTGAAACAGATAGATGAACAGCTTATCTACTGGCCAAAGTAAGACGGGATTTCTGAGAATTTTCTTGTAATAATGAAAAAAATTATTGTTGCTTTCATTAACCTCAAAATCATTACATGTATTTTTATTAATCAAGATTCATCAAGCACAAATGCAAACAGAGATTCACAAAAATAACACAGTATCTAATCAGAATCAGGAGACTGGTGCTCAAAAGAAGGTAATTATAAATTTTTATTGAATAGTGAAGAATTAAAATATTTAGCATTATAAGATGCTGTATGACACACCACAATATGTAAATGTTTGTGATCTAACTGATCTTTCTGCATATTGATTAAAATACATAAGTATTACGTAATATTCCTTTTTTTATCAAAGAAAAAATTAGAAACATCCTGAACATGAGGACAAACCTTTATGCATTTCTTTCATCCAATTTTCCTTTTAATTTGTTTTAAGGAAAAAGTTGGTTCCTCTAAGCAGAAAAATTGAAAAACGAGAAAGACGAAAAGAGGTATTTCTTTGTCCTATGTGATTTTTATGTTAGGTTATTATCATGAGAGGAAAGGGAACAGAGGCTTTAAGTGATCTTACAGATAACTTAATTTGTAAATGAATTGAGTGAAACTTAAATTGTAAGTTTTTTTTCTGAATGACTTAATTTTTCCTGTAGGAAAAAGCCCTGATAGCAGCTAAAATAGACACAGCTATAGAGAAAGAGTTACTGGAAAGACTCAAGTCAGGAACGGTAAGTCTGTTGTTCACTGGATGTTTTCATACTTAAAGAATTATCTTCCTATAAGACATTACTTTATTATTGTTCCAAAAAAAATTTCACTTTTTTTGTTGATGAAGATCTATTTGGAGAAATATTTATTTGGTGTTTTATGAAAATTTATGAAGAGCTTTATTAAGAGAGAATATAAAATATGGAAACTACAATGAAATTAATGCTTGACACAATGTAATGATAAAAAAAGTAATCTTGTGGGTGATTGAATGAACGTTAGAGCACTGGTATTTTAAATTGAAGAGAACTGATCTTATATCTTCAATAATTCTTAAATGCTATTTTAAAAGTTTCTTTGGATGAGTAAACTGATGTTTTGTTCCTAAACAGTATGGAGAGATCTATAATTTCCCTTCCCATGCATTTGACAAAGTGATGGATGAGGAGGTTGAAGAAGAATCGGAGTCAGAGAAGGAAGGAGAAGAGGAAGAGGAAGAAGAAGAGGATGAGGTCTGTCTTCACTCTCTGATCTAGTTCGCTGCCTTTTATTGTGAATGAGTATTTTGTCTATCTTCACATTCTGATTTAATTCTCTGCCATTAACTCAGGCATGATTACTTGAAAAAGTAATCGATTAATAATTGATTGATCCAAAGTCAAGTTTTACTTGAGCATTTCTGTCTTTGTTTTCTGTAATTCTCTGCCTTTTATTTCTTCTGTACTGAAATCTTCTCAAATTCTACCAGGTCTCTGGTTTTACACTGCTGGTTTTACACTAAAATCTTAATATAACCCTTTGATCTGATTCTGGGAGTTCTATTTCAATTTTCTTTCTGTACAAGAAGTATTTTGATCTGCTTTCATCAATGTATGAAATGCATCTCAATGTAAACAGTAAAACTTGATTATTAAGAGTTCACTTATAATGAAATCTTTGTGATAAGGAACTTTTTATGGATTCGTATTAGGACCATTCAATACGTTTAAGATATAAAGAATCTCATTTACAAGGCAGGAAATTTTGACATTCAATTGAGATCCTTATAACCAAGTTTTACTGTACATAGGAGCTGGTCTATGGTCAAGGAAAAATTGTGAAATGAAGTGAAAGAGGGTGTTGCAGTTCTTTTGTTATTTTCTCTAAATGTGTAGCAGATTAAAAGAAGAATTTTTATGTTGCAGAAACTCATAATCATTTTTTTCAAATGCAACAATATATAAAGCACAACGAGAAACAATAATTTGGAAGCTGTGTATTGACTTCCAATTTGCTATTAATTGATGTGAAAATTAGTCTCACGGTAAAATATATCACATTTTCCTTTTTTTAAATAGGGAATCCCCATTGTTCTGAAAAAGTGCCTCCTTGAAACAGAATAATTTTGATATATACACAAAGAGGCAGGAATTTTCTTCAAAACTGCCATTTCTGATTTTTGTTTCAAAGAGGCATATTTCTGAAAAATGCAAAAATCGAATAAAAATTATTCTCCGAACGAAATGCAAAATGTGTACATAAAATAACAACGGTAAACCACCGTGTCCGAAATGGTCCAATGGATATGCTGGTGGGCTTCCAACTAGTACTTTTACCAGAGAATGGGTTCGAATCCTTGAATGGATCATTTTGCATTTTTTCCCGTATTTTTTTTTTCTATATGTAATGGAAGTGCATTGAAATTATACATATTTTGAAAGAGAGAGAGAATGTCAAGAAGCTATTTAAGTAATAACTATATAGTAGAAATGCAGGATTAAATTGTTTTCCTTGATATGCTGTGACTTAAAACTAATACTTTATTTAGTTTTGTCTTGGAAAATAAAGTTACTGCATTGCTGAAATAATTTCTATTTTACATACTCTAGTAAATGCAATTTTGAATAATTCTGGTCTGTTAGTTAGCAGTCAAGATTTGATTTGAAACAAATGAAATGTCTTGGATGTAGCACAAACAGTGTGATTATGGGACGCAGTTTTATTTCATGAAAAAATATTTTCGCACGATGTATATCTTTCAAAATGCTGCTTTAGCCATTGTGCCTTTTGTTGTTCCAACCTTTTTCGTGCAAAATGACGAAAGTGTTTTTGCTGAATCAAGCAGGAAATACCCGCCGTAAACATAGTCCTCTACGTAACTGTATCTATATTTAGACACAACGAGGGTATTTAAATGTCCTTCTCATTATATAGGGAATAATCGCGAGTTTCTGCAACACCCTCTTTTATTTTTTTTCCCATGAATACTAGTATGTTTGATATGTATGAATACTGTATACAGGGTTATTTTCGCCTGTGTTATTTTCGCCCGTGTTATTTTTGCCATTTCACACTTGCAGACAATTTTGTCCTGTTTTGAATTAACCCAGTCATAGTTTTGTTTAAGAAATTAACCGTATTCTTTGAATCTGCTCGGCTCTAAATTCACCCAAATGAGGGCCGGTTGAAAGGGGTGAAAATAAAATGGGGTCGAAATTTTTTCTGTAAACAGTATTGCTTTTTAAATGTGTTTAAAAAATAAGGATATTGATAATATTGTCTTTTTCTACATACATATGTACTTTAGAATCAGTATCTGTCTAGCAGTATAATGTTTAGATGATGTAAAGAAGCAGAATTAGTAGTAACTGATGATTTTTTTATTATCTTTATCAGGAGGAAGCAGAAGTAGAGTATGTAGCGGAGGAGGACTTTGAGGAAAGCAATTTATCAGATTTAGAGGTACGATTTATATAGCATTCAAATCTGTCATCATCTGATATTAGAATTAGATTGATAGCATTAAAATCCTTCTCATCTGATAATAGAATTAGATTTATAGCATTAAAATCCATCTCATCTGAGTTCCAAAGGAATACTGTAAACCAACTTTTTCTTGTGCACGAAATTTTCGCGAGGTTCACAATAGAGCCTCTGTAAAGACGAATAATGACCCCCATGGAATAATGAGCGGGGGTCATTTTTCAACGACAAAAAATGACCGCCTACCCGTAGAAAAAAATCATTTTTTGTAGAAAAAGTGTCATAGGGGTCATTATTTTATATGTTAGTCCTATAAAAAATTGACCCCCATTGAAAAATGACCCCCTTTAAAGTGAAAAGAGATTCTTTAATTGTCAAGTAATAAAATTTCTTTTTAATATTCCTCCTTATAATATTTGTTTAAAGAATGATATTCCACTTGTTTTTAGAAATCAAACCATGCAACAATCAGGTTCCAATACCCCTAAATAGAAAAAATAATTTTTCCTTCATTTCAACTTTTAGCTTGTATAAGTTTGGCAAATCCTATTTGACAATGAAAGAGGAGGAAATTTTTAACCCCCCCCCCCAAAAAAAAATTTACGTTAAATCAAAACAAAAAAATAAATAAATGAAAAGCAAAAATATAAATAAAACTCTATACCTTTCAAAAATACTGAAAGAGGCTCTAGATAAAATATTGAAATAAAGTTAAGCCTTCACACAAGTTCTATCATATCATAATTTACTTCGCCATGATTAAAGCATACTTTAAATGTTGGTGGGGGTACTGTATAGCAGGTTAAAATCGGGGTCGGAAAAGATCGCGATTTGTTCAATTTTCTGCAAATCGCGGTCGTTTGAATTCGCGGAAAAGGAAAAACCACAAATTTCTTAAACAGTACTTGCAAACATTTTTCTGTTGGTATATATTGTATGAAGTGTTATTTCCCGTCTCTATAGAATATTACGAAAGTCTGTAATGTATATGAGCTGTATATCGCGCAGAAAAGTAAAGTCTATATATTGTGTCGATTTTGATCCCGATTGAATAATAACGAAACACCGGACTGATCCCGATTTGAAGTCAAAATAATGCTATGCATTTATTTTTTGTTTATTTCCGGGTCCAAATCAGAAAAAAAATTATACCGTAGTAAAAATGTTTTAATCATATAATTGAAATTAATTAATTAACTACCCTGTTTACTAAGTAAATGCCTTGATTAGAGGTTATGACTGAGTGATACGCACGGGTGAAATTAAACAAACATGTTTTTTGAAATAATTACATCGCACTTCTACTAGATGGCAAAATTAATCGTAAGCAATAGAAATGAATTATACAATTAATAAGCTTTTAAAACAGCAACAATTACGTGTTTGTAATTGATCCAGACACTCGCATAATTATAAAGACAGTCTACATCTAATCACAGAAAATAATAAAATTTCAATTTATCTTTATAAAACTTTTTAAGAATTATTCACTGTATGTTGAATTCGCGGAATTTCTTTTTCCGCGAATATAGCGAAAATTAACTCCGCTAGTTAATTTCCTGCTGTACAGTATACTTGAAAGTATTGTGGCAAAGTAACAGTTGAAAATTAGTAGAATAGTAGATTATTTTAAGCTTATTTTTAGTCCCTCCTTATAGAAAAATAAAGGTAGGGTAGTTTTTTTTTTTGTTGTTGTTGCTTTTGTTGATAATGGACTTCCTCCTAAATAAGTAAGGGGGTGGGGTGGGTATAACACCTAAAAACATGCTCTGTAAAGCTGTGGGCTAGTGTAAAATACACATTCTAATGCAAAAACTATACATGCTGACATAACCTTTTGATTTAGCACACAGTATTCATTACATTTCTTAATTCTTGTTTTACTCCACCCTTTTACCCAGTTCTGAGTATATTTTTCAGAGAATTTAATATGAAAATCAGAACAAACATTTTCATTTTTGTAACGTCTTCTTTATACTGTATCATAATATGAAAAGTTAATTGAAGACCTTTTTAGCTCACCTGAGCCGAAGGCTCAAGTGAGCTTTTCTGATCACATTTTGTCCGGCGTCCGTCTGTCCGTCTGTCTGTCCGTCTGTGTGTCTGTCTGTAAACTTTTCACATTTTCGACTTCTTCTCAAGAACCACTGGGCCAATTTCAACCAAACTTGCCACAAAGTATCCTTGGGTGAAGGGGATTCAAGTTTGTTCAAATGAAGGGCCACGCCCTCATTCAAGGGGAGATAATTGGGAATTAATGAAAATTTGGTGGCATATTTTAAAAATCTTCTTCTCAAGAACCACTTTGCCAGGGAAGATGAAACTTATGGGGAAATATCCTTAGGTAGTGTAGATGGCCGACCAAAGTTTTACATAGAAATATATAGGAAAATTCTTTAAAAATCTTCTTCTCAAGAATGACTAAGCCATAATTCATCATATTTATATGGGAGCATGCTCAGGTAGTGTAGATTCAAGTTTGTTCAAATCATGACCCCCGGGGGTAGGGCGGGGCCAAAATGGCCGACCAAAGTTTTACATAGAAATATATAGGAAAATTCTTTAAAAATCTGCTTCTCAAGAATGACAAAGCCATAATTCATCATATATATATGGAAGCATGCTCAGGTAGTGTAGTTTCAAGTTTGTTCAAATCATGACCCCCGGGGGTAGGGCGGGGCCAAAATGGCAGACCAAAGTTTTACATAGAAATATATAGGGAAATTCTTTAAAAATCTTCTTCTCAAGAATGACAAAGCCATAATTCATCATATTTATATGGAAGCATGCTCAGGTAGTGTAGATTCAAATTTGTTCAAATCATGACCCCCAGGGGTAGGGCGGGGCCAAAATGGCCGACCAAATTTTTAAATAGAAATATATAGGAAAATTCTTTAAAAATCTTCTCAAGAATGACAAAGCCATAATTCATCATATATATATATGGAAGCATGCTCAGGTAGTGTAGTTTCAAGTTTGTTCAAATCATGACCCCCAGGGGTAGGGCGGGGCCAAAATGGCCGGCCAAATTTTTACATAGAAATATATAGGAAAATTCTTTAAAAATCTTCTTCTCAAGAATGACAAAGCCATAATTCATCATATATATATATGGAAGCATGCTCAGGTAGTGTAGTTTCAAGTTTGTTCAAATCATGACCCCCGGGGGTAGGGCGGGGCCAAAACAGCAGACCAAAGTTTTACATAGAAATATATAGGAAAATTCTTTAAAAATCTTCTTCTCAAGAATGACAAAGCCATAATTCATCATATTTATATGGAAGCATGCTCAGGTAGTGTAGATTCAAGTTTGTTCAAATCATGACCCCCGGGGGCAGGGCGGGGCCAAAATGGCCGACCAAAGTTTTACATAGAAATATATAGGGAAATTCTTTAAACATCTTCTTCTCAAGAATGACAAAGCCATAATTCATCATATTTATATGGAAGCATGCTCAAGTAGTGTAGATTCAAATTTGTTCAAATCATGACCCCCAGGGGTAGGGCGGGGCCAAAATGGCCGACCAAAGTTTTTAAAGATATATATATAGGAAAATTCTTAAAAAATCATTTTCTAAAAATAGGAAATCTATGATTGGTCATGGGACTACTTTTGGATTTAAACTTTACAATAAAAAGCCATTTTCTCCTTTTTCCTACCTTTAGTGCTCAGGTGAGCGATGTGGCCCATGGGCCTCTTGTTTTTTATGTCCCTGTAATCGAAGATTCGGGGGTATAAAGTTTTATCGTGTCCGTCTATATGTCTGTCTGTCTATCTGGCAGTATGTTTCTCCGCAAAAACTTTAACCTTGACCATAACTTTTAATTTATTGTAGCTATGCCTTTCATATTCAATATGTGTATATTCCTTGTGACAAGACCTTACTTTGGGTACCACCAAATTTGACCTTTTGACCTTTACCTTGGATTTTGTCCCATTTTACAAAAAAGTGCCAAATTTTTAATTTACTTTGGCTATAACTTTTAAACGGTAGATACTAGTACTCTCATACTTCACAAATGTAATCCTTGTTACATTAAACCTTTCTTAAGAAACCATCAATTTTGACCCTTTGACCTTTGAGTTTGACCTAGCCATTAATTTTGAACAAGTGGTGCTAGGGCTTTCCTATTTTGCAATTGTATTTCTTGTGAGAAGACCCTACTTTGGGTACCATTATATTTAAATTGCATTTAAGAAAAGTTTAATCTTCGCTATGTTGCCATACAGGGGCATAGCTGTTTCACAAACTCATCTTTTTATATATAAGAGGAGTTGCGGATAACAGTTGGATACCCCAAAGCATAACAGACGGACGGACGGACGTCCCGATCACTATATACCCTCCCGCTTTTCAAGCGGAGGATATAATAATATATGATACTGCTAATTTTTTCTGTCAGTACGATGATTTCCACCATCGAAAAACAATGTTTACCTAACCCTTTAGGCTCGATAAATCTTTACTCCTTTAGATTCTGAATCATCGCATTGACCTTGAAATATAGCTATAATCGTATGTTACGAGATCAACATATCATTAATTTATTCCAAATAAGCTCAGGTGAGCATTTTGGCCAATATGAGTCTTTATCTAATTTTTTTTTTGCCCCCTAAAAATTTCAGCTTTAATCCTCAGGGAGTCATTTTTCTACAGGGGTCATTTTTCTTCAAGTGGGTTCTGCAAATTTTTAGGGTGGTGACACTTTTTCTATGGGCAAAAGGGTCATTTTTCTATGTCGAATAATGACCGGGGGGTCATTTTTTGCCGTTGAATTTTGACCAGGGGTCATTTTTCGCTGTCGAAAAATGACCTCCGGTCATTATTCGATGGGGGTCATTATTCGTCTTTACACCTCGTCATCACAAATATTTCTTGCCGTGAAACAGTCCTTAATGTCTCTGTGTCAATTTGAACAACCTTCAATGTGTAGGAAGCTGACATTCTTTTTAACAAGCTATAATTGTATTCCTGCAAAAAGATCTTTACTAAAGAAGTAAATCATAACAATATCTCTTCCTTTGAAATTGTATAAACTTGCTAAAAGATGAAATTAAACACTGAAAGTATTAATTATGGATGACAGATATACGTACATGTACATTTTGTTTTGTTTGGAACCAAAAGTAGATTTTTATAAAGCTTACAAATAGTCAAGAACAACCAAATGCACAGTTGCTGATAATTTTTGTTTCAGGACATGGATAGACTTCAGGGTGAGGATAGTGATGAAGAAAGTGAAAGTGGTTCAGAAAGTAGCTCAGAGGAGGAGGAAGTGAAAAAAGGAAAGGAAAAGAAACTGAAGGCCAAGAGGAAGAGACCCAGAGTGGAAATAGAATATGAACAGGAAATGGATCAACCATCAACCTCCAAAATCAAAACAAATACTTGATAAAAGAAAGATGAGGAACAAGGATTTTTTTTTTTAAAAATAACTTTACTTTCTTTCTGCTCCGTGGAATTATGGGATTTATTCATTCAACTATCTGTGTGTGAAACTCCAAATCTTAAAAATATCTAGTATTTATCTTCATTCTATTATTTCCCATGAAATATATGGAATTTTTTAAAAAGTGAAAAAATCTCATTACTTTCTTCTCTGTATATTTTTTTTCCTTGGAAAACCTTTTCAGTGTTTCTTTTTATTTGTTTAGCAGATTTCTAAATCATTTATGAAAATGATGGGATCAGAGTGTAGAAATCTCTTCATAACCCATATCAATTTTTAAGAGGAAAACTCATACATGACATAAGAAAGCTAAAGCAAACGTGTATTTCAGCTACCTATACAGCAGTTTCCTCATGTTTTGGAACTGAATTTAATGAAATGTGTCTACTTGTTCTTTGTTATTACAAGGATTTGTTTTAAATATTGAAATTAAAATTGTAGAATATAACATGATTTTTGTCATTTCGAGAAGAAAATTTGAGTACAAGAGTTTGAAAACATATAGCAGATTGTGTCCAGATTTTCATGCTATAGGCTACAAAGAGAGAGTTATGCATTTGAATGCAATGCAGAACCTCTCTAAATTCAATGAATGCAATTTTGTCAATGGAAAACGCTTTCACTTTAAATTAATGACATTATTTTCCTCCATTATAGAACAGTTGCTTCTGGCCCTGATACTGAGGGAACAAAACACGCTCTTTGTGTTAAATACCTCCAGATGAGCAGGGGCCAAGACGTGCAGTTATTATTTATGTGCTAAAAATCGAGAGTAGTTAATAAAGTTAGTGTACCTAAACTCAATTGTATTTGCCTAGTATTCAGTGAATGCCATGTTAATTTGCTATTTAGGGAATGCCATATGCATCGGATAAGAGTGCGACCCTGTTACACTTTCCGCAAACTCAGAAAATTGGTGGTTCACTCTTCACTACTAACTTAGCCAATTTGTACCGCATTGATATTAAATGACATCTGATTGGATCGCAAACAAAAAGAAGATGAGCTCTCGAATTTCCCCCCGCTGGGTTTCTGGAGAGAGGGGTTGGCGAGGGGGAACAGATATAAAATGTGAGGACGCTCATCGCATCTGTCGGCTTGCGGCCATTTCCTGTGTTAGGATCAATTGTGCGATTGTAAAACAGCGCGGGTGGCCGACCAAAGTGACAGAGACAATTTCGCAAAAAGAGAAATCAAAATATGTTTTTATTGACAAATCTATTCCTAACTAGATTTTTCCCCTTGCACTCAACTTATATTTTTACTCCCTCTGTGCAAAAGCGCCTTAATTGACGAACAAGTCTCCCAGAGAAATAAATCGTTTATTTGCTAAAGATTTTCGGGTATGATAACCTATAGACATTGGATTACCACGTTGAAAAGAAAAATTAATTGCTCATATGCAGAACCTATTGATATGTCATTTTAAAATTTAGATACTGAAACCTTATACTTATTCTTTGTCGCCCTGAAATAGCGATTGATCTGAGTATCGCGAAATATTCTATGTATTTGTGTCCTATTTCCCTGGAGTTTTACATGGATTATAATGTAAAAACACAGTTAATTCCATAAAACCAAAAAAAAAAAAAAATGCTTCGTAATGTTGATTTACAGTCACAGAGGCAATGCAACCTCCACTACAATTCATTCTATTTTATAAAAAAAAAAAATGAATGATTTTTTAATATACGCTCAACGGGTCATAGCCTGCATTTACAATTATCTTACTTTAAATTGTCAGAGGGCACTAACGATCGTCAAAGGACACTTATGATCAAAATATCAAACAGTCATTTGTCATATTGTAATTTTTGAATTTACCGGATGGTAGTAAATACAAAAATTACAATATGACAACTATTATAATTCTTGTATATATTATTATCCGGTAAATTCAAAAATTACAATATGACGCATTTTCGAAATAGGTACTAACTCTTAATTTTCATTGAAAGAAATTCAAATTTTCGACGTTACATGCAACAATTTACTGCAAAAACGGAACTAAGAATGTTAAATTTCACAGAACTTATTTAAAACGTTTGTTATCGCAGAAAAATGGAGAAGTATATAATGGCAGTAGATCGAATTTATGAAATAATATTCCAAGTCGGAAAATGCTCTCTCTCTCTCTCTCTCTTTCTCTCTCAAAGAATTGTGTTCTTATCAACCAGCAAAAAGTATTTGTTTGCTTGCACGTTTTAACCACTTTGAGCCTTTCTTCTGTCGGTGTGTAGGGGTTTAGCAATAAACCACTTCAGCAGCCACAAATCGCGTCTCAACGACACACAACCGGTTCAAGTGTGCTCAGGAGGTACTCATATACTAAAAGGCGAACAAACAGAACCATAACGGTCTTCAACAAATTTAATATTGTTTCGACGAAAAAAATTTTAATTTTTAGTCTTAAAATTGAATTTTTTGGATAAAAAATTTTTTGAATTAAAATTTCCTGATCTATAAACTTTGATTTTTCTTCTTTTTGATGACAAAACCAAAAAAAATGTATTATTAATTTCATGTACATATGATAAAGAAAACAACGATTTCTGATGTAATAAAATAACTATTACATCAGTGGAAGGTACAATAAATAAATTGCTTTTCTTTTTCAAATTAACAAATTATCTATTTTCATCCTTGTGGACGTCAACATTGCACACCTGTCAAACTATTGTGACTGAACTTTCTTATTTCCCCTCCCCCCTTTAACACCTCTAACAATAGTCCTCACCTAATCTACTTGACCTGTCACATGGAGGGGGCTTAATCTTTAATGCCCGACCCCTCTTACAAAATCTCACCTTCCCTTTATTAAAAAAGGAGAGAAAAATCACGATTTTTTTTTTCTCTCATTAGTAGTACATGAGCAGCTGAAATACTACGAGTACAATTAGAAGGAAGGTTAGGTGAAAAAATAAGAAAGATGGATGTTTTTAAAAGTCGTGGACGAAGTCAAAATATTTTTAAGACAATTAAAGGTCACCCCAATACTTACATAAGCGTATCACTGAAAGAAAAAAAAGATATTTAATAAAGGAAGTATTGTGGAAAATAATAAATGAGTTGGTAGCTAATAAGATTTTCTAAAACTAAGTAAAAAATAAAGTACATTGTTGTATAAAATATACATTAATGTATTGAGAAAGAAAGCTGAAATATGCAGGAAAGATATTTCCCTTCCCCCCTCAAGTCAAAATACTTTCTCTCCAATAAATATTTTCTAATTTTTTTTTATTTTGAATCAGTCGTCATTCTCCTTCTTGGGTAGCAATAATATTATGCCCTTATCACTTGCATATGCCAATGGGTTTATATCTCTCAGTTGATTCGATAAACAAGAACATGCTCTACGTATGAACAAAAGTAAAATGAAGCGAGCTATTGACGAACAAGCTGATGAAACAAAGATATCAATAGTACGTCTCGTTTGAAATCATCAATTTGCAGATTATTTTGCAAGTTTTATGGTCGATAAAATGACCCTGTCAGCAAATACAAACCATCATTAAGTCAAGCGTTTTTTTATTTTAATTGTTAACTTAAAGCCACTATTTATAACTGACTTGTCTACGGATTTTCCGTTTTTCCCGATCATGACAAGAAACCGAGGGCGGATGTGATAGGTCGGGAGGGGATGCTCACTCCTCCATGGCACCTGATCCTCTGGAAGTCGATATTTGCCATTCTCCCCATGTGCATTGTTTGAAATGACTTTCAACTTGAATAATGTTCTTTATTTCTCTACTATATACAATGCTATGACCAATTGCAATAGGTTTTTCCCATATGCCCTTACCTAATAGTAATTTTTTCTAGCGAATACAAATTTTTATTAATTGTAAAACAATTCTATTACCACTTTTACACAGATTATTTAATAATATTTTTGAGAGCGGATGCTATCCGGAGTCCTGGTCAAAAGGGTTTATTGTCCCAGTGTACAAGAAAGGGAATGTTGATGATACAAATAATTATAGAGGAATAACTATTTTGAGCTGTTTCGGAAAGTTATTTACTACAATTCCTAATAATAGAATCTTACGGTGGGAGAAAACCTATGGTATTTTGTCTGATGCACAATTTGGTTTTAGAAAAGGGTTGTCAACTGTTGACGCAATATTTGTATTACAATCACTTGTTAACAAATACTTGAGCAAGAAAAAGCGTTTATACTGCTGTTTTATTGATTATCAGAAAGCTTTTGACTCTATAGATAGAATTAAACTGTGGAGGAAAATATTTAATATTGGTATTCAAGGGAAAATGTATAAAATGATTAAAGCATTGTATCAAAGCATAAAATGTTGTGTGAAATACAATGGCTTATTTAGTGAATATTTTACTAGTTATGCCGGACTAATGCAAGGCGAATCACTCTCCCTTTTACTGTTTTCATTATACGTTAATGATTTTGAGATGCAATTTATTAAGGAAAATTGTCAATGTATAGATGTACAAGAAATAAGTTTGTTTCTCCTTATGTATGCAGATGATATGGTGATTATGTCTGAAAGCCCAGAGGGTTTATAACAATTGTTGAATTCATTATGTAATTATACTACTGTGTGGAATCTTAAAGTTAATATTCAGATGACAAAAATAATTATTTTCAGAAATGGTGGTAAGATTAGAGAGAATGAGAAATGGATTTATGGTAACGATATAGTTGAAATTGTTAACGAGTTTAATTATCTTGGAATGTTATTTAATTACAATGGAAAATTTTTGAAAACTCAAAAACATGCCGCAGAGCAAGGTAGAAAAGCTTCATTTGCTATATCTAATTCATTAAAAGCACATGCATTCAATGTTGAAACGCAGTTATCGGTCTTTGATACTTACGTAAGTAGTGTACTTTTATATGCATCAGAGGTATGGGGATGGCATAAAGCTACTGATATCGAAAAAATCCACCTTAACTTTTGTAAAAGAGTCTTAGGAGTGGGTCAGAAAACAGTTAATAATTTCATATATTGTGAATTAGGAAGATATCCACTAGCAGTAAAAATGAAATTAAAAATTTTTAAATATTGGCTCAAGTTAAGAGGGACTGATAATTGTATAATTAGGGCCTATTATGAAGATATGGTTTTACGTAACGATAAGTGGATTATGTGTATTAAAGAAGAGTTGGAGAGACTAGGTTTGAGCTATTTATGGGAATCTAACATTGTTGATAATTGTACATATAAAATAATTGAACAAAGGATGACTGATATTTATAGACAAAATATTTTTTCATTTGTAACTTCATCTTCAAAAGGACAATTGTACCAATATGTTGTGAATGATTTTGCCTTACAAAGATATTTAACAAAACCTATTGATGATAGATATAGGAGAATGCTTACCAAAATTAGATTATCAAACCACCAATTAAAAAATGAAACTGGTAGATATAATAATACACTTAGATCTCAAAGAATTTGCACACTTTGCGCCTGTAATGATATTGAAGATGAATTTCATTTCATATTAAAATGTCCATTTTATGAAAATTTGAGAAGTATGTACATTAAGAAATATTATTATGTCAAACCAAGTGTTTTTAAAGTTGTATGTTTAATGAGTAGCGAAAATGTTAAAGAATTGTCTAATTTGGGGAAATTTTTATATAAAGCTACTGCTCTACGAAAGTCGAATTTGTAACTACTATTGATATCTAAATCCTTTGTGTATTTTTGTATATATAATATTTATTCTGTTTTCTTTATTGTGTTTATATGTTGTACATGTAAATCTGATGAGCCTTTGGCTTAAAGAATAAAGAAAGAAAAGAAAACAAATTTTATGCATACATCGGTGTTTTTATAACATGCAATTCAAAATTATATATACAAAATATTTTTTAATTAAGTGCAGTGTACTTATTTTTCTTAAATATTACCAATGTCAGCTTTCATTTTGGCATGAAAAAGAGTAAATTTAGAGAATAAAATTCTGTAGTGCGTGTTACAATAGATAGACAAGAAAATTTTAATTTAAGAATAATACACATGAATGTATACTCCGCTTGTTTAGTTTAACCTTAATAAATTTTCTCTTTTACAGAAATAGTTGATCTAATATTAGAATAAAATATCTAAATAGAGATTATTGAGTACTTCACACAACTCGCGTGCTCGGCAACTGTGAAAAAAGGGGGCGTGTCGGAGCTAAACGACTTGTCATGTGATTTAAATGAAAAGAGTCTGGGAGTTTCATCGTTATAAACTTTAAACACATTAAGTTTATAATATCAAAGTTCAACAACTTCTGCAAGATTTCCATTGCAAAATATTGTTTTATAAAATGCTTTCTATATCACTATAAATTAATATTTGTGTGACTGTTATATCCTACCCAGTAAAGCATATAGTTATGGAATGCAACAGAGTACCAAATCTGAACTCATACAATTACATAAGAGAAGGGAGCCGCATAGAAGCAAATACAACCGACAACAGTCCTTCAAAATATCCAGAATACTGTAAAACAATCAAAGTCCAAGGTAAGCAAAAACAAGATTTTATTTTATTTTATTTATTTATTCTATTATTATTTATTTTAATTTTATTTATTTATTTATTTGCATTTCTAAGTGTTAGAAAAAAGTCTAATTAAGATGACATATATCAAATATCTGATCTAGCTGCAGTCATATGAATTATTATTTTGTAAATAAATAAATGAATTTTCAGCTTATAAGATAAAATGAATGTTGGAGGGACTGTACCTTTTAACTTTTATACCTTAGGAAAAATAATACAAAAATGAATATTTGTTTCTTTTGAATTTCTTATGACAATGGGTTTTTTTTCAAAATTATTTTAGATGCTAAATTATTTTAAGTTTTTCAGCAATGATATAACAACGATGATGCAATGATTAATTTTTTAAATCTCTTACTTTAATGTGTAGAAAATGTTCTTAATTACCCTCGAATAAATTTAATTAGAAATATCCCAGAAAATAATAAAGCATCTACAATTTTGACACTGAAATAAAACAAATATTTGTTGGATATGATCATATTTTTAACTACTTAAATACACGATGAACTAACTGGAGTATATTTTCCTGTTTAAAAAAGTTATTAAAATCTCCTTTCAGGAAACATTTGCACGTAAGAGAAAAAATATTCATTCTAGTCAATAATAATTAATCATAAAACATATATCTAGAAAATGGTCGATTCTTGAAGAGCGATATAGACCTTATTACCTTTTATGACAAAATTAGATCTGTAGAAAGCGTATTGACATATTTTGGTTTCTTTTTTTTTAAATTAACCACTGCGCTAAAAGAGTTTCAACTCCGCCGTTTTTGTCCTGCTGGGCTATATTTCTTGGGATTTAATGTTATTGTGTTCACTACTTTTCTCAAAATGTCATTTCTTTTGGAGGTGGAATCCCTAACGGCTGGATAGCTTGTTAAATGAACCCGTGCTATTCGTTTTCACTCAAATTGAAAACCAATTAAATTGGTGTGAGAAAATATTTACACTTTATTTTTTATAGCAGATGATTGTTACATGGTTTCCACTTTTAAAAAATCGGTAGATTTTAATTGCAGTCAGTTATAAAAATCCGAATGTGATCATTTAAGTTCTGCAAAGATTTTTAATAAGTTTAAAGTTAAAAAAAAATAAATACATTGTGAATTATCTAAGAACGATTTGGCTTATTTCATAAAGTTAGGTATCTTATTAATTTTACTTCCATAGTAATTTGAATTATGTACGAAAATTAAGGGTCTAGTTTTTTGCTCCAGGACTATTTGACGAGCGTCCAAAAACACTTTTCATTGAATAGAAATGCTAATGCATACTGAAATTCTATACCAATTAAAGAGGACATTTTCACATGAAACCAGGGTTGATGAACAGTATATCTTTTTATTTTCACAGATACCCAACTGTTCAGGTATAACACAAATTAAACCCGTTAATCATATTTCAAGGAGAGAAAGGTGACATTTTATTAAATAAATTAGCTTAAAATATTCTGACAAAACTAGAATAAACAATTACATCTACAAGTACTTTATTTTAGAATTTTTGTTTCAATTCTACATTTAAAGAAACCTTTGTACGATTACAAATGCATTCATTAAATGAATAATTAATGCCTTTTTAATCCAAATCCAACTTTGGAGAGAGAGAGAGAGAGAGAGAGAGAATGTAAGAACTTAAACACAGTAAGTATGTAGGGACCTATATACTAAGTTACTAACTTATTTAGTATATAGGTCCCTGACTTGTACACTAGTTTTTTCTATTTGAAACGATATATTTTACTCTTAAAAGAAAATTTTTTCATTAAAATGAATTATTTTTTGCAGAAAATATTCAATCATCTCAAGGAGAGGTCTTGAAAACCAAGCAAAAAAAATAGTTTTAGAAAAAAACACAATAATATTATATATAAACGTGTCCGACGTGAAACAAACGTTATTCACATCATTAAAAAGTACGTATTCCTATAGTAATATTTACAAACACATATTTTATGTCAATCTTTTCACATTATATATGAATTTTCTAATGAAATTGAAAAGATTTTTTTGATTTAAACATATTTTATTGAACACAATCAATGGGATTGGACACAAGTTATACCAACTTAGATTGTCCTCTCCAACACAAACAAAAATAACGAGAATATATACACGTGATGTACAAGCAAGACATACAATTATATATTAAAAAAAAAAGAGAAAGAAGAAAAAAGTGGTGCAGAGAGATAAGAAAAGAAGGGGATGGGAGTGCATGGAGAGAAGAAATAAAGGGGGGATTATAAATTAAGGATACAAAATGGTTACACTGGTTATTCATAAAATCTTTTTGATTTTTTAATATATTTATGTACAGCTTTAACAATATTGATATTATTTTGTTGACCCAATGAAAAAAGAAAATGTACAGAAACATAAAAATTAACTGAAATATAGTTTAATCTAGTACACCTTGCGAGGACAAATGTCAACAAAGAAAAACAAATTTATATACACGTGATGAACAACAAATAAATCTACAATGCAAAAAAAGGAAGAAAAGGGTGCAGAGAGATAAGAAAGGTAGGGAAAAGGAGTGCAAGGAAGGATGAAAGAAGGAAGGGGATTTTAAGGATACAGAATACATGTAGTTACGCTTACTGTTCAAAAAATCTTTTCGAATTTTTAATATATTTATGTACGGCTTTAACAATATTGATATTATTTTGTTGACCCAAGTTTGGGTCCCCAAAAAGTATTTTATCAAGGTCTATTTCTCCTTTGTTATTTTTTATAGTATGGAATAATTCTTTTCTTATTTCAGTATAATTTTTACAATAGAGGATGAAATGCTCAGTGTTTTCATTAATATATCCACAAGAACACTTGGTATTGTCTGAAAGTTTAAACTTAAAAAGATCTGCCTTAAGGAGGCTTACATTGTGCCTCATTCTGGTTAAAATTGAATTCCATTTTTTGTCGCCATAAGAAAGATATTTTGGGGGAGGATCACCTTTAGAGAGTCTCTTTTTAAAAGCATTTATAGTGTCAAGGTTTCTAGTCTCGGTAGGCAATGCATTCCATGCTGATATTGTAGATGGAAAAAATGAGTTTTTAAATAAATTTGTTCTACATTGGGGAATAACAATATTATTACTATTTCGTAGATCATAATGGGTAGTTTGAGAGACTTCAGGGGGTAATAGATTTAGTAAATATTCTGGTGCGAGGCCATGTTTTATTTTATACATTAAACATAATTTTCTCCTTTCCCGTCTACAAGCAAGAGTTTCCCATCCCGTTTCAAAATATAGAGATTTACGAGAAGCATAAATAGGAAGGCCTGTGACAATACGCGCAGCTTCTAATTGTAATTTCTCCAGCCTATCACAGTCAGCTGCGGTAATATTATCCCATACTTCTGATGCATATTCAAATAGGGGTCTAATAAAAGTAATATACATCTTATTTAAAAAGTCACGATTTAACGTTAATTTCAGTTTCCGAAGAACAGCAATTTCTTTTGAGGTCTTTTTAATAATATTGTCAATATGGTTTGTCCACTTCCCAGAATTTGAAAAGATAAGTCCAAGGTGACAATGAGTAGAGGATGGGACTATTTCTTTATTGTCAAATTTAAATCTTAGATTGGATAATTCGTCTTCTTTACAACCAAATATTAATATTTTGGTTTTATCGGGATTAAATTTTACAACCCAATTTTTTGACCATTCATTAATCTGTTCTAGATCATAATTAGTAAATCTTTCCAAGTCCTGCAAGTTTTTGGAAGTATTGGACACAGATGTATCATCTGCAAATAATCTAGAGAGACCTAAGAGTCCACATGGCAGGTCATTAATATAGATTAAAAAAAGTAAAGGACCAAGCACAGAGCCCTGGGGAACTCCTGCTTTGGTTTTTGGTTTTTGGTTTTTGGTCTTTGGTTTTGAAAAGATATACAAGGTTGCTGTTTTATTTTGTTTTAAAATCTCCAAGAAATACCGTCTTTTCAGAAAAATCATTTATTTAACTATTCTAAAAGGCCCAGTATCTTCCAATGGGTTCAAATAATTAATTCTGGGAGGGAAAAATGTATACCAATAAACTTTTTTTTTGCGGTGAATCTAAGATGTTTACAATAAGTAATATCTATGTTAATGCATGTAATTAATTATATTAATTATATACATGTATCAATGCTCTGAAAATCATACATTGTAAAGTATTTAAAAATACAATGAATAATTAATGTTGATAATTCTTATCCATGAAGTGATTAAAAACGTGTAAAGGTTAATTTAATACATGCATATTTCCTCAACAAGAATAATAAATTTCCCTTTTACGGAGTAAGCCGTATGTGGACAATGAGACAAGAAATGGAGAAAAACATAAATAAATACACTTCCTATTAAATTTAACAGCAAAATTGTAAAAAAAAAAAAAAAAAAAAAAAAAGGTTAAATTTAAGGAAAGAAGGGACGTATTAATATCTTGAAAATAAAATAAAGCCATGGCCCATACAAATAATGATATAACAGTACATGTATAATACTAGTATAAATGAATAGTGTTTAATCCCAAACTGCCACACTGGAAAAATAATTCATATATTTTAAGAGTCTTAATAAACAATCTTTACTTATTTGCTTTTCACCAAGGCTTGACAATGATTAAAACAGAAATGGAAATCACAGAAATATTAAAGAAGTTTATCAAATACTTAGTTAACTTTAATAAGGATAAGTTATTCATTGAAACATAACTTTTACACCTAAACCAACTTGTAGTACATAAATCACAACGAATGGTATTTTTAACCCCTTTAACAACAGTTAGGTCAACATCGATATCATATTTGCACCAAACTTTACTCTTTCCCCTTGAACCTCTTATCAAAGATGAAATAACCCTAAAGCAGGAATTAATAGTTGAATTATTGTGTCAAACAACATAATAACAATTGTACTGAGTGATTAGTATTTTATTTGGCTGAATGGGACACGGCCGCTTCAAAGCAGGAGCCGAGGCATCAATATAGTTTCAGCAGAGACTGATGAGGAATAAGTGCCATGACGTCAGAGTTCCCTTGCTAGGTGCTACTAATATTTCCAAACTATAAATGGAACTGATAAATACCGTACAAATTGCCCAATGAACCCGATGCATTTTCGACCAAGCCAGACCACAAATATTTATTTCACTTTGATAAATAGATTTAACCTTTAGTGGTTAAATCTCATTAAACAGTCTTCTTGAAAAGGTCAAGGAAAGTCCAATTTTTTATTCCTTGACACCAGAACATAGACCAGGATCTCTGTGATTATGGATATTGCGAATCAGCTTTTTAAACACGCACGTTTTACTGAAGAAAATGCAGCTGAAACAATCTGTCTTTTCCTTAAACTTCAATATGCCAATAAAGGAATTGACGCGGTTACAATAAGTTATATTCTTAATCAACAAAAGGGTCCAGTCCTGTATTCCACCATATTTCAAGATAAAGATTACACCTTATATTTCCTACAAATATACATCGACAATTGCTTCCAAACTTTTCAATTGAAAAAAACTTTACATGTTCTGGATATCGAATATCTGAAACATAATCCTCCATCGTGTTCATGTCCTATAGTCCTGCTGGACATGTTATTACATGTGACGTTAATATAGTTAATAATGAGGACCTTAGATCACCCTTTTTAAAAGCTCCTAAGTATAGGGAACCCCAATCCTTCAACTGGCGTCAAAATTTCATAAATATTATGGTTTCTGTTGAAGATGACGCCAGACGATGGGACATATATGAAAAAGAAGACGTTGTCACTTTGGCGGAATGGATTTTAAATGTATCAGATCCATGTTGAAATCGCGTATTAAAAGGTTGAGGGGCAATATGAAAACCATCCATCCTTCTGCATTCAATAATCCAGAAGTGAAAAAAGAATTAGATAGATTACATGATCAGTACAAACTGGTCCCTGCTGACAAAGCAGGTAACAATATTGTCTTCGTTTGTAAGGCTCATTATAAAATTGTATTTTAGAAAAACTTGGATTTAATTCTACAAATGGTAATCCAACTTATACTCAAAGTCCCCTTTCTAAGGAGGAAATTCTTCAAAATCAAATATCAGTTTTGAATATTTTTAATATCCCGAAGAACCAAAATCAATTTGAACTACCAGACATATATTGGATTCCGAAACTTCATAAGAATCCTTACAAATAAAGATACATTGCGGGTTCCAGTAAAAGTTCAACCAGGCCTCTTTCTTTACTCCTCACAAAGATATTGACAGTAGTGAAGGAAAAACTTCAACACTACTATGCAACAATATATTCAAGTAGTGGTGTGAATCAGATGTGGATACTCAAAACTTCCAAAGAACTTTTGGACAATTTAAAATCACAAGATTTTACCAAAATCAACAGCTTAAAAACTTACGACTTTTCAACTTTATACACAACCATTCCCAACGATAAAATAAAGTTCAGGCTTTTTGATATCATTGACAGCTGCTTTTACAATAAAAATGAAACTCGTAAATTTTCTTACCTGGTCATTTGCAAAATTATTTTGTTAAAACACGTTGTGATAGCACACACAAGTACTATGAAGCTGACATAAAAAAGATGCTTGAGTTTCTGATTGACAATAGTTATGTGGTTTTCGGACACCCGGTCTTCCAACAATCTACTGGGATTCCCATGGGTACCAATTGCGCCCCGTTATTAGCAGACCTATTTTTTGTATTCATATGAAGTAGAATTTTTGCTAAATCTTATGCGTGAAAAGAAAAGAAAAACACTTACTGTGGCCTTCAACTCGACATTTAGATATATCGACGACGTATTGTCAATCAACAATGGTAATTTCCATTCCTGTGGCGATACGATATACATGTATCCTATTGAGCTTGAGATAAAAGATATCACAGAGTCTGACACATCTGTTTCATACTTGGATATTTTACTTGAAAATTAAAGATAATCTAACAATCAAGCTCTATGATAAACGTGAAGACTTGAACTTTCCTATCGTCAACTTCCCTAACTTATGCAGCAATATACCTCATCATTTGAACACGGAGTTTATATATCTCAGTTGATTCGATACGCAAGAGATGCTCTACGTACGAAAAATTTATAAAACGAGGTAAATTATTGACAAACAATATGATAAAACAAGAATATCAGCAGTCTCGTTTAAAGTCATCGTTTCGTAAGTTCTATATGGTCGATACAATGACCTTGTCAGCAAATACAATTTATCATTGAGTCAAATGATGACTGACATATTTCATACCAATTGTTAGTCCATATTTATACACTGAATTGACGACAGATTTTCCCGTTATTTCCCGATCATGACAAGGAGCACACGGCGGGTGTGACCAGTCGGCAGGGGATGCTCACTCCCCCGTGGCACATGATTACACCTCTGATGTTTTAGAGGTCCGTGTTTGCTCTGCTCTTGTTTTATATTGTTTTATGGACTTCTGAGCTTGAATACTGTTCGTTATCTCCATATATTTCATTAAAATCCAGGCATAAGTACATTCAAAGAATACAATTAAGGAACAGAGCAAGCATGGACCTGAAAACATCAGAGATGGGATCAGGTGTCATGCAAGAATGAGCATCCCGACGTGTACTCTAAATTTGCAGAGAGAGAGAGAGAGAGAGAGAGAGAGAGAGAGAGAGAGAGAGAGAGAGAGAGAGAGAGAGAGAGAGGATTTCCTATCTTGATAGGGTAAGGGGTGATAAGAAAACATTATTATTTCACTATTTGTTGGAAAAATAGAAGCATACTTCGCTGAAAGAAATAACTTGGATATAAATAATATGGATTAAATTATGTTTGAAAATGTTTGCAAAATTATCACTCAGAACCTTCAAATAGCGATTGTAAAATTATAGGATTCACATCTTACTGTTTTTTGACAATGAAATGTTCTTATGATAAAGTTTCCAACAGACAAAGGAATAAATATTGATAAATACATTTTCTAATTATCTTCAAATTTTAACTTGTCTTGAGTCAAATCTGCAAAGTAATTATATGATAATTCCAGAACAAAAGAAAAATCAATTTTTCAATCAGAAACGTTTAGGCATAGTACCACCCATTACGTGCAAAGTATTAACAGAAATAATAAGTGCATAGTTAGGAGAATCGATATATAATTAGATTTTAGAGTTCATGTTTCAGAGACACAATCCCCTAATATAATGCGGCTTTCCATGTCTCGTGAAGGAAATAAACGTCCGTGAATAAAACTTTGAGAACCTAATACGCTTGAAAGAGATACAAACACTTTTTGAATGAAAACTATTAATTGTTCGTTGTAGATATCATCTTTGATAACTCTAGTTGATGGAACGAAATTTCCTTGGGTGGTATTTGAACTTAGAAGTTTAGAATAGGAGAGAGGGAAACCGGTGCAGTTCATTTTTTGATGATATTTGTTATGAAAAGCGAATCTAATTGGCAGTGATTTGTTGAATAATTGGAGTCAAATAGATTTCAGCGTTGATTTCATATCCTGCAGGAAAATTTGTAAAGGTGTTATACTTAAAATATTAATTACAATTCTGTAAACTGAAGCAGCAAAACTCCAACATAGCAAGTTTAAATAAATATAAGCTTATCAGTGGTCTCATCTTATGGAACAAAAACAGATTTTTATAGAAATAATGACAAAAAATATCATTGTCTAAACGTTCAAGAACAAATTAATGAAAACCACGACTTTCTTTTGTGATCCATGATAACGTTTATTTGTGAATAGATTTAAAGTAAGAAAAAATGAAATATTGATATAAAAACTGAAAGTTAATTAACTTTTTCTTTCAAAACAGATTCTCATGGTGGCGTGAAGGAACTGGTCTTCCCTAAGGCCTTGGATTTGGATCGTCCAAAGCGGGCCAGAACAACGTTTTCTCCAGAACAACTGTTCCAGCTAGAGAAAGAATTTCAGAGAAACCAATACTTGGTTGGAAAGGAAAGAACACAACTTGCCAAACAGCTCAAGTTGTCAGAGACTCAGGTCTACTTCAAATTAAAAATGGCTAAAATAACAAATTTTTAAATCAATATCAATTGAAAGAATTAATATTTTATTATTTAAAGAAAATATGCAGGAACAAATATTTAATAATGCAGAGGAAATTCGAACTAATTTTTTTTTCATTTTTTTCAAAATCATTTACAATGTAAAGATAACATGTATTTTTAAACATAATTTTGTAAATATTATGTGTGTTAAAGCTCATGAATTATTTCGAATGCTATGAAATAAAGAAATTCAAAAAATATGAAGAAAAAAACATTCCAGGCCACATATCTCAATAATTTGATCATTGACCTCATATCTATGTCATTAGCTAGAATAAAGGCAACAAAAGTAACCTGAGGCTATAAATAATTTAGAGTTTATGGCATTTTTTGTAATATTCGATTAAAAGGGGGAAAATAGAAATATGACAGAGGAAATTCGGACTTTAATATGTTTATGGACCAAAATTCAATCCTTATTTTTTTGAAATTAAAGCAGCGCTGTTCTGTTCCTATAATATTTCAATATTTGAAGATTTTTTTGTTGCTTGTAATATTTTGTGAGGAAATAAAGAAAAAAATGGTCATAGTGGTAAAAATTTAGGTATTTTCCGAAAAATACTCAGGGGTCACTGGCATGAAAACTAGGGTATTGACCTAATTATTTGAATTTGAAATTTAGCACAAGAATAATAGATGTACAATTTCCAATAGGTAGTTTTTCATTCTTATCAGATGAATTTGTTGTCATCTGTGTCAAGGTATTTTAACAGAATTGAATTCATGTATTACAAAAAATGACATAAACTCTAATTTACTCTCAGGTTTTTGTTCGAATTCAGTTAAAGTAATGTTTCAATTATATTATAAACAATGTAAATAGAATAAATATGTAATTTTATTTTCAGGTAAAAGTATGGTTTCAGAACAGACGGACCAAGTATAAAAGGGACAGATCACGAGACAATGAAACAGCTGATTCAAAATCTGAAAGTTTAGCAGCATGCAATATATTAAGACTGTTACAAAATCAAGTTCCAAGGCCTAATTGCACGAGTTACCTTCCACCATATCCCTACTCATTTTCTGGATATAGTGCCTCGTGAAAGTCAATTTACTTGACTTGTCACTGAGCTCTATTAAAAAATATTTGATATTTCACTCAATTTAAGTACTCTGAGAATCAAATCAGATTCAAGATACTAAATGTCATTTGAGGCATATTTTATATCAAATAAAATCTGCAACATTTGGAAAAGACTTGAAAATGCATGAAAATACTTAGATAAGTTTTTTTCAAAAAAGTATTGGAATAAAATAATTTTGGTAAGAACATGCAAGGTAGAGGTAGTAAATACTTGTATGAAGAAATATGCTTTATGTGACTGTAGATTGATATAAACTTTGAATGTACAAGGGTTGTTCGGAAAGACTACTGTCATATCTTTTCTATTTAACTTAATATGTTATGAATTATGATAGGAGTATTTTTACAGTAAATTCAAATGATTTGTATTAAAATTTTAAAATTATCATATTTATTTTAAACCTATACAGAATTAAAACTGCAAAAATCGGATCGCAGAGCAGTACCGGTAAAGGTCTTGTAGAGAGGGTTTCCCCCCTAAAATCCCCCCCCCCCGGAAAACTGGCTCTAGAGTAGAATTTCCCCCCAGGAAAACTGGCTCTAGAGTAGGACCTCCCCTACGGAAATCTCACGTAAGAGTCACTTTTTTTTCTAAATGCTTGACAACATTGAGCTGATTTTGGGTACAGGAATATATCTTGATGAGTTAAAAGTTCAAGTTTGCATTTCGTTTCGCTTCATTTTTTTTTTAAGGAATTACAACCTTTTCAATTTTTAACGGTTTTCCGTGATGCTTTTCTTAACGGTTGAAGATATTGAGCTAATTATTGGTAGGTGAATTTCAAGTTTTGATTTTGTTCCACTTCAATGAATTTTTACGGAATGATGGCATTTTCAATTTTTAACTAGATTTCACTTGCCGGTAGGGGACAAGTATTAATAATGCAATACTCTCAGAATACTTGTTAAACATGTATTGTACAATGTAAATATAACATGTCAGATATGAAAATCCATTAGGATAAATAAAACAAACAAACCTTTTTCTTTAAAAATTCAGGAGTTTTTGGCTAACTTAGATGCCCCTCTCAATTTAGAAGTGATATATGTATTTCTTAATGTTTGGCCCAGCCAAAATGAAATAATTGGCGAAAAGTTCAAATATGCATTGCAGCAACTTTACAGTTTACAATTCAACACGTTTCTTAACAATTTAATAAAATATATGAAGTTCTCTTGCTTCAAAGTTTCTGGGGGACATTTTCAAGAATGTATTTTAATATTTTACACAATTAAAATTTCTTAAACTTGTATGTTTCCATTTAAATAAATATTGAAAAATTACCAGTGTTACACTTATGTGTGGGAGAAAAGAAAATGTGTTTGAGGTACGCATCTTTAGTCATAAACATGCATCATAAAGTTAGACGGAATAAACAATGACTTTTTTGCGGTTAATGTGTCGTCCTAAACTACCCCTGCGAGGAGAAATTCATAATTTCAAGAACTTTTATGAACCGTTCATGAACATTCATGATGTGTTCATGAATGGTTCATGACTGGTTCATAAAGATGGTTCATGAATTTTATTCATGAATATATTCATAAAATGTAGTTCATGAACAAATGATGAATATATATGAATACTGGTAATTTTCATTTTAAAGACAGAAAAAATGTAGAGTTCAAGGTATTATGAATGTTCATGGATTTTCATGAGAACTAAAATAATTGACAAAAATGATTGACAGAACACTCATTACTCTCATAATACAACTTTCGCATACAGATGCAATTGTTGAACAAGCCCCTAGTATAACTAATATTTCATAACATGCTTTCACCAACTATCTGAAAAAATAAATCATAAAATAAACACTGCATTTTTTTTAAACTGATTACTTATGTTCCTTCATAATTTAAATTAAACAGTTATATTGATCATACTCTGTGCTTTAAATAATCTCGTTTTTCACAACACAACTTTGTTCGACCGAATTTTCTCCAACATCAAACTTTAAAGAAGTTGTTAGAAACTTCGTGATCTTCGTAAAAAACGTTTATATTTTTATTAACAACTACAAAATTATATCGCTTGTCTGTACTGTACCGTATTATTCCTGGATCGAAACGCTATACATTTTAATTTTGGTACAGGTTAAAATGTCATAATTTTCCCTTGCTTCGTGTGTAAATGATAGAGCACAGACTGCATGGTTGTAAAGTATCTATGACATAATTAATCTACATTCGTATTTTGTAGTCTTAATTCTCCTATGTGTCTTCACAGCTCAGAATATTCAGTCTGAGGGCGATTATCATGTTATATGTCCTCTGTTAATGGTTACTTGCTATGCATACGAAACTAACATGCAATACATGTATAATTGATGACGTAAAAAATTCGAATTCTTCATTGATAAAACTTACATTGATATAAAAAATTGTATTTTCAGTGAAAAATTATTCAGATAGTGTTTGTTATTTTTTTAAAACAGAAATCTTGGAAATTCGAAACTAACGTATTTCTGAGCTCTATCGATTTTTGAATAGGCGCAAACTTGAAAACGCGCGAGACGTTGGAAGTGGAAATTTGTAGAGTGGGAGGATCGGTATTTGTGATCTATAATTTGCATAGCCACTGATCTTTGTCAACTTTTAAAGAAATAACAGAATATGAAGAAGGAAGAATATATTCAGAGGATCAATCTACTTCATAACTGGTGAGTGACAAAAAATGGAGGCAATCACTGAGTCAGATAGAGTGGGATGATCGGTATTTGTGATCTATAATTTGCATAGTCACTGATCTTTGTCAACTTTTAAAGAAATAACAGAATATGAAGAAGGAAGAATATATTCAGAGGATCAATCTACTTCATAACTGGTGAGTGACAAAAAATGGAGGCAATCACTGAGTCAGAAATCTGTATGTAAATGTTACTGTCTATATTTGTAAAATAAATTATGTCTTTTTTTAATGAAAGTTTTGTAAAACTTTGCTTTGAGTTGGGATCCAACCATATAACATACATTAATTATAGCCTGAGACTCAAAACATTCATAGGCATGATTAATCTACAAAATGGCGGTCCAAGAAAATAGGCGTATTAATTCCACTCAGAATGTTTTAATTTGGAAGTGCCTCTGATGCAAAATTACGAAACTAAATGCAAGAAAATACAAAAAAGTCTTAAGTTTTACAATCATTGGTATTTTCAGAAAATCTTTCTTCATAATATTGAAGTAAAAAGATAACCAGTACACAAATTTTGATGAGCACCACACAACAAACTCCGGCTGCAAAAAAAAAAAAAAAAAAAAAAATCTGAGCTCTTGAAAAAGAAAGAAAGAAATGAAAATATGAATGATATTCAATCAAAGGATCCAAATGATGGAATTCTGGAAATTCCACCTGGAGAGACAATAAGGATTTTTGGATTTTTGAATTGGCCATCTCTGCTCGAACTGCTTGAAAGCCCTTAAAGCTGTTGCCCTGGTGCTGAGCAAACTTTTCTCCTGGACTGGAATTAAAGACTGTTCAATTTCTGGCATTAAAACACACTTTGAAACATGCTGAGGAATAACCCCCTTCTCCTCTTGACCAAGTAAGGTTAAACATTCTGCAAAGAGTTGCGTTTGAATTGAAATTTTTCATACTTTTATCATTTACTATGGTTTAACATGTCAGAATTGTCTATTCTAAGTTTTTTAACAAAGATTTTGTTGCCATGGTTGGAAAACAAACAAAAATTCTGTGAAATCTTTTAAGATGCTGTATTATAAAACATGTACTGTTACTGTTTGTAGCATGACTTCATGCATTTTCATGAATAAACATGAATAATAATATTACATTTTTTTGTTTACAAATAAGCAAGAATATTCATGAATGCTAATGGTTCATGAATTTTATTCATTCATGAACATTCCTGAAAAAATTCATCAAATTATTCATGAACAGTTCATGAAGATCCAATGAACTTATTATTGGACATTCTTGAAATGATGAATCTTCATGAATATGACTCTTCATGAATATTCATGAATATTCATCATTTTTCTTTCATGAATAAAAACTCATGATTTGAAAATGTCCAATAATAAGTTCATAGGATCTTCATGAACATTTCATGAATAAAATTCATGAAAAATTGAAGGAAATTCATGAATTATTCATAACAGTACGACATTTAACTCTGGTCACGACATAGTCCAGACTTTTTACTACCATTTCTAACAGTGATATCTTAAATATTTTTATATCACTTGGTGGGATTTCGTAGCAGTATCCCAGGGAATTATGCTGAACTCACAAACATCTCCACTTCTAAAGATATGAAGTCCTTAGTAAAACTCAGAATCCCATGGGAGAATGGTGGAATTTTCAGTCCCATCAACTATCACATCATTCTCCCATGGGAGAAAAAATGTCAGATGGGATATTTTCTCCTGTAGGATTTTTTCTCCCACATATTTGTTCAAATGGGATAAATCCCATGGATATTGACAATGAATTATCTTCACCAATACATTTTATAGAAGGAATGTATTCTATATATTATGATGAGGTATGTGTCATTGTCATAATTTATGGGATATATTCCATGTTTCACAATGTATGGGAGATATTGTTTGATTGTCAATATCCGTGGGATTTATCCCATTTGAAAAAAATTGTGGGAGAAAAACGAGACCAATCTATAATTTCTTAATGTTTTAGAACGTTTATTATTGTTATCATTTACAACCAAAATAATTCCAAAAATTTTTAACTAATCCAGACATCCATTTTTCTTTCTTTCACATTTTTAGAATATTTTTACATTTCTTTCGAAAACTATATATTTTGGTTGAAATTCCATGATTTTAAATATATATGCTAAGAACATTCTTACAACATAAGTAAAAAAAAAACACTCTTTACTTTTTAAAAATCAGTTTGTCATTTATCTTCTTTTTTCAAAAAGATATTGCGATTGTGGTTTATATTAACTCTATAACAAGGGGGAAATCTTA